TAGTTAAGGGTGGCCTATCTACAAGTTTATCTTATTTTTGGTCATCCTTCAAATAAATAAAATAAAATAAATAAAATAAATGAATATACGGACAGCTACGTGCGTAGCATGAATTGAGGAATGAGATGCGTGTATGCGAGAAGTTGGACACGTAGGCAGCATACATAAATGGGGGAATGGACAATAAACATCGTGCGAATGTTCGATGGAACACAATTTACAGTCCTGATCAACATCTCCCTGGCAAGTTCTTCACATTTTGTTGTTTTGCTGAATGTTACGGGAGACGAGCAAACAACATTTGAGGCCTTCACATGTTGGGTTGGTCCAGTGCATACAACATCTTGCATGACTCATCCAATCTTTACAAATTATACTTAATGGAATAATTTTTTGAAACTGCTTGATCACAGAATTCAATTCAATCTCTAAATTCATGCACAATGCATTGATTCGGTTAAAATAATGAAGAATAATCGCTAAAATGAATGAAAGTGAGAATAAAGGGGCGAGGGTGGTTGTTCGTGATTAACTTTGGATATTATTATGTGGATGGTTATATCGTTCAACTACGCTAAATATATTTTACGTCTCATAAGCAGATAGAATAGCGCATGCGTTACAACGTAACAATTATTAGTTACATACAGGATGGGCAGTAGTTGTGTAGGTCGGAAGGTATGGGAGGAGGCACTCTGGTCGTTTGTTTTGCGGATGTGGGCGCTTTATGACTCATGGGATTGTTAGTTATATTGCTTGGAACCAATTTGTGGCTATGAACTATTTAATAAAAGTTAAAAAATGATCGACACCACAATCGCTAGACGAGTCATAGAGGACTCGAGTGTTGAGCAACTGGATTCTGAAGAAAATGTGTATGGTCTTTATGTTTGCTGTGCAGATCACAGTGTGTGTTGTGTTTGTTTGTTTGTTTGTATGTGTGTATGTTTGCTTTGTGTGTTTGTTTGTATCTGTCAAGTTATTGCATAAGCGCTGTTTTTGTTTGCGTGCTTTATTTAATCGTGTATTTGTTAGAGAAGTATGCGCTGACTTTGTGTGTGTGTGTGTGTGTAGTGTGTGTGTGTGTGTGTGTGTGTGTAGTGTGTGTGTGTGTGTGTGTGTGTGTGTGTGTGTGCGCGCGCGCTCTGTTTTCAGTGTATTTTTGATACGGTGTGTTCGTGTTTTTGTGTTTCAGCTGCTTCTCCTAATGTTTCTTGCCGTTCTTGTCCTTCTATCTTTTACCTCCTCCATCTCTGCTGTTCATTTGTCGGCTGCATTTCTGAAGTTTGTATGCAATTTATGCGCTCCAGTTTGCACTTGAATGAATGGCCGAATAGGCATGTATTTTATTGCATGCACTGTGTATACGCAGGCACACACACACACACAAACAAACACACACACACACACACACACATAGGCACACACATAACACACACGCATCATACACATACAGACACGCACGCGCACACGCACACACACACACACACATATATATATATATATATACATATATATATATATATATACATATATATATATATATATATATATATATATATATATATATAGTGTGTGCGTTATTAAGTTTTGTTAAATTATGCATGCGTGTATGGGCCCTCGTGCATAATAGATGTAGAAAAGTTGAACATTTTTTAGGAAGTGTATGCGTGGAAGTGTTGAAGTGCGTTATTTAGGGATGGTTTTTGTTTTTGTTCGTGCGGCGACTGTTGCAGTTATTATCTGCATCGCATCTCCGCCACATCCCCCCTTGAGTGTTGCTGACGATGACGCCCACAGGCATGGAGGGACTCTTCTTCTAATCATCATTCCTGCTCGAACGAAACTGTCCGTACTGAATTAGTTAATAAGTTTAGTGCAATGAGGTTTAGTTTGTTTTTTCAAGACGAACATTGGATACTCTTTAACTGTTTCAAATTTAATCAACTTAAGACTTGTTGTTATTTATTTGAAACGAAGGTTGACAGATGACTGTTGTGGAGATAGTTGCATTGTAATGTTAAATGTAAGGTTCATTGTATTTCATATTTGTCATTCCCACTAGAAACAACACTGCACTGGCTGGCATTTTACTAACATCAACAAAACAGAAATACCTGTGAAACCGTAGTGCTAAAATTAAAATAATGATTTATAGAAGCAAAAATAATTTGCCGCTAGGTGCAGGGATGCTGATGAACTGCAGATGAAAATGACGAAATAATCAAGAACCCTATCTAGCCAGTTAGACAATGAACTGACTATTCATTCGTTCGTTCGTTCGTTCGTTCATTCATTCATTCATTCATTCATTCATTCATTCATTCATAAATTTATTGCTAAACCAACCATGAATGTTGTTTCAAAAGAGAAAGGACAGTAGAACATTTGAATCATTTAAACAGAAAGTTCGTAACGATGAACATGCAAAATAAACGTTGGTTCGGAGAAGTTAATTTAAACGAATGTTTGCGAGATGACAGACAGCAGACAGACAGGCAGGTAGGAATGAGGCAAATTAAAAGTCAAATCTTTTTTTGAAAAGTGAAATATTAAACCACGCACTCTCAACTAAGCACGCTTAAACGTATTTTAAACATCAACAGCTGCTGAAACAACAAACTAGACTCTAATAACATCAATAAATTAATTACATTATCGAATAGTAACATCTCGCAAAATAACATCAACAAATTATATACATTAACAAAAAGTAACATCAACAAAAACAACCCAAAAACAGCAACTTTAGTAATATCATTAACAACATCAACAACAACAAATGTAATAACAACAACATCGAACGGAAGAATGTTTACATCTTTTCAGCAAAAATCAATTTTGTTGAACGCTATTGTTGTTAAAATGCTTTCAACTAATCCTTTTATTAAAAATGTTGTTTGAATGTTGTTAAAAAGTTGAATGTTGTTTGAATGTTGAAGGTTGTGTGAATGTTGAACGTTGCTTGAATGTTGAATGTTGTTAAAAAGTTGAATGTTGTTGAAATGTTAGATGTTGTTTGAATGTTGGATGTAGTGTAAATGTTGAATGTTGTTTGAATGTTGAAGGTTTTATGAATGTTGAACGCTGTTGAAATGTTGGATGTTGTTTGAATGTCAAATGTTGTAAGAATGTTGTTGGAAAGTTGATAGTTGTTTTTCACCAAACAATTAGCATCAACTTTTATGATATTTCAATGCTGAATATTCAACATTGCAAGAACTGTTTGTGTTGCTTACTGTTTGCAGAGCGCGCGTGCAACAGTCCACTAAACTCTCACCCGTCAACTACGATTCATATTAAACTTGCGTTTTGTACCAAGGAACGCTTTGCAATCAATTTATTTGACATTTTAACAGATGCAAAAAGCGTACTTTTGTTGTTTATTCAATAAAAAAATTTTCCATAATTTGTTGTGACCATTTTTAATTTTCATGATGAACTGATTCTTCCTTCAGGAGTCTCAAAAGATGCAATGCCAGTTAAAATTGCACGCTGCAAACGTTGTGACATCGACGCCATATTACGTAAACACAGACACACTTTCACACGTACATTGACGTACACACGCACACACACACACGCACACATTGAAGTACACACACGCACATACACAAAAACACATTTGCATGTCAACAGAGCAAGGCGTTTGATAGCATTCAAACCAGAAGGGCCCAGAATCACATGGCGATACACGAAATCTCTACTTTCTAAACTATATGCTGGCTACATAAATGTCAGTTGAAAGGTTTAACAACAATCACACCAACACCAACATAGCACTGTTTTGACACATTCATCTGGCACTCAAATCACCACAAGCTCTTCAGATTGTCATAATGGGCTTAACAAGAGAACCACTAAGTACAATCTCGTACAATCTCGCCGGTACAATCTCGTTAGCCAGCCAGCCAGCCAGCGTTCGTTCAGTCAGCGCATAATGTTATTAAGATTAGATTTTTTCTCAGTTTCTGCCACTTTCCTCCTTCCACCTTCCGACGCTCCTCCATCTTAAATATCATGATATCATCATCATCAAACCAGCCAGTATCAACAGCAATAAGTGATATACTCATTAAAAACACGCACTCCTTGCTATCATTACCTAACCATCACTGAATTACGAAAGTTTGCCTTGAACCTTATCATGACAACCATCACCAGCCACACATTAACATCATCGTTAAACTAATCACCATTGTCACTTATCGCAATCACTATCACCATCAATATCACATTTTTCCATCATTGAGTTCATTACTTGTTCATCTTCTTCATGTTCCTCTTCACGTTCATCATCATCGTGTTCATCGCCATGTTCATCACCATGATCCTCATCGTCAAGTTCATCCTCATGTTCATCACCGTTATGTTCATCATCTTCATGTTCACCATCACATCACTCCAGATAACATCTCCATCCATCACGCACAACACAAAATTTTCATATTTCCAATAATTACCATTGTCATCTCAGTAGCACTGTATCTGTCGTTATCTTTTAATAACTTTGTATCATTCGGCTACTTAGTAATTCCACTGCTGTTACGTCTAACTGTCGCTACTACTACTACTACTAGTATTACTATTACTGCTACTGCTACTACTACTACTACTACTACTACTACTACTACTACTACTACTACTACTACTACTACTACTACTACTACTATTGCTACTACTACTACTACAACTACTACTACTAATACTACTACTACTACTACTGATACTACTATTACTAACTCTACTAACTGTCGTTACTACTACTACTACTACTGCTGCTGCTGCTGCTGCTACTACTACTACTACTACCCCTACTTTTGTTATTGCCACTACTAAAAACTACTACCATTTTCGGATTTGTTTTGTATTTTTACAACTAGAATTACTATTACTGCAAATTAGAGTGCACGTTTGGAAGCCAGTGTATGTGGCGTAGAGGAAGAGAGAGAGAGAGAGAATGAGAGAGAGAGAGAAAGTGAAGGGAGTGGAGAGAGTATTCATGTCATTTGGTGGATTTCTGCAGGGAAGAGAGCACCTGATAATACATCATGTGCTTCTTTCCGTGCCATCAGCAACTCATTGGTGAGTTCATGTTGGGCTTTGCTGTTGTTGTTGTTATATTGTTGTTGTTGCTGTTATGTTGTTGTTGTTGTTGTTTTGATTACATTGGTGTGTTGTTGTTTCTATGAGATTTTGTAATTGAGATTATTGAAAGGTCTCAGTGTTAAGTTGTTAACGTTTAAATTGTTACTGTTAACTATTCATTAACTACATATTTGTGTTTATAATGTGGCATAATTTTGTGTTGTTCAGATTTACAAGTCCTTTTATAACTCGTCCATTCCACATTTTACAGCATCATTGTGAAATTCGTGAAGGTACCGGCGTTGAAATATAAATTAAAATTACGCTGAAGATTAGCGAATGATAAAAAAGGCCTGCTTTTTCTTCTAAGTTTCTTACTTTCGACTCAACGAACAGCAGCTAATTCCATTGTTTATATGCTCCGCGCACACATTATTAAAACAACAAATACAATGAAGCAATTGTAAGTTTCGATGTTTCATGTGAGCTAGTTGGGATGTAATGTCATGTGATGGGATGTGGTTTGTTTTGATGTGATGTGTTGTGATGTAGTTTAATGTGATGTGATACTGCATAGTCTGATAGGATAGGGCAAGATATGTCATTACGCGATGTCATTTGATATGTCTTTCAAACCAGATGTACAAAAATGAATGCCAAAAGTAATGATGATTCGGAGAAATTTGATTTGTTGTTGCGATGCATTGCGTTCGTATTTTAAACATTTTAAAACGATGAAATAAATTGCATCGTGTTGTATGTAGTTCTATGTGATAAAAAATTAAAAATAGAATCAGTACTCAGAGAAAGAGAGAGAGAAAAGAGAGAGGGGAGAAAAAAAAAACGGAAAAGAGAAAAAAAAAAGTGAGAGAGGTTCTTAGCTTATATCGTTTAATTGAATGGGAAATGGAAGTTCAACTTTAAATTTGTTTTCAATTTTTACTTAGTTCAATTAAAAATAAAATTTATAAAATTATTTTAAATGAAATTTATCATAAAGATGTTTAATTATTTAAAGATATCATCCGATGAGAATCGGTGTGTGATGTCAGTTGGACTCTGGGAAGAGACTTTCGAATATGTGCCCATGTTTGCCAACCAACGTTTGGTCCCTGAGACAATTTGACAGCCATTGTAACATGTCATGGAATAAAAAATTATTTACAAATGAATGAAGCAAGAAAATTTTTATCTGTCAGTGCGGACATTAAAGTCACGTGGTTTATGATGTATGTCATGCAAGATAACAAATTAAAGTGTCTTTTCATCATCTTCTTTCTCTTCTTTTTCATCGTCATCATCATCATCAACGACACCCAACCATAATTCAACTAATAATAAAAACTTAGAGACCTCTGAATGAAATCTTAATGATGGTTCAGCGGATTTAGATAGAGCTATTGCCCCCCCCCCCCCGTCATTAACAGTCCAACAATCATTTTTCTGTAAAAGTTTTTAAATTCTGCCAGTTTTGATTACTTTTGATACATAAAAACACAGTTTTGAATAGCATAATTTACAAAAATTTGTGCGATAAGCCAAAAGGTCGCCAAATACAAAATTTAAGCGCCGATACGGAAACTTTTAGTTTTGGCCCCGTCAAATTTGGTCTCGGTTTAAGATGTGTGGGCCCGTCCTTGATGACGCTAGAAACTGAATATGAACAAATAAAAAGCAAATTAAACACAACAACAAAAAACCACACCAACTCAACAACTGCAGCAGAAAACGTTCAAATTATTTTGTATCCTATTGTTTTAACTTTCATTTCCAACCAGTTATTTGAAAGAAATTAGATAGATAAAGCTTAAACAATTTTGTCACTCCGTGTACATGGCGTGATGTTTATTCAAGTAAGATTTTTTTTGTTTTTCACTATTATAATAAACAAATATTTGTGCATTTTTGAAACTTTTGCAAGCAAGTAAAAGTGGCAACAAAAAATATTTTTCATCAGATGTCGCCTTAAAACAGCACGTCCACTTCAAAAATAATAACAGCCAGCACTTCAAAATGAAAAAAATTTGCATGACTTTCAAAGCACGAAATTATGAAGGAAGGATCAGCAGTTAAATGGCCAGCCCCGTCAATCCGTACAATCTGTTCGAATGACAAACAGACACAAAACAATTTCAAGAAGCTACAACAAAGCTACACAAACAAAAACTTTGTATTTGAGCTACCTCTTTCAAACAATCACACATTTTTCTCTCTCTCTCTCTCACATTTTTCTTTTTCTTTCACACACACACACACACACACACACACACACACACACACACACACACACGCTTTTCTTCTCACACACACACAAGCAAACGCTACACCAAACATGCGCTCACACACACATAGAACAAATCAATAAAATAAAAAAGATAATTAAATATGTTTCAATTAATGTTAATTATTACGATTGCATTATTATCCAACCAATCAGAATTCAATCACCTCAGATGCCCTGGTGATATCAAACGAGACGAAGACGATATTTCGAAAAGGAGAAACCGTTAAGTGGACTGATCGAGAATCTGAAAAAGAGATTTTGTCTGGAGTAAAACCTGGATTTTAAAAAAGGAGAGTTGCACACAGAAACATTTAAAATTTGGAATAATAGACGGATAGGAAAGATCAAGACTTTGCTCCAAAAAATTCTGGATAAAGTAGATGAAAAAATGGTCCCCAGCATCTTTAGAATCGGATAAAAGACCAAACCTGAATTAATCATTTCTAAAGATAGGATTTTCTTTTCAAAGTTACTATCAAATTACAAATGGGTGAGAAAAAAAAGAAAGAAAGAAGACGATGATGCTGGATTGCTGAGAGGACAAGAAAAATGCAGGATGTAGGATACTGAAGCGGAGCCACTCAACAGAGAAGCAAGTAAACGATGAAATACGGACGGTGCTTGCAAGCAAAAAGAACTTTATAAATATGTAAACATAACCGTCTACTTCATTATCGTCATCATAATTACCAATATTATAACCAAAAACGTCTTCGTAATTAAATTGCCATCGTCAACATCATCTCCAACCTCACTATTATCATCATCATTATATCTAGTATCACTATCATCATCATCTTGGTCACCATCATAATCAGCACTACCATCATCACCATAATCACTTTCATGACCACTACCATTATTTTCTTAATCACAACCACCTTCATCATCACCTCTTTTGTAATGAAGAGTTTGACCTGAACATTTGTGTTACTCTTATCAACTGGTGATGCATCGATAAATGTTCTTACTTTAATGACGTTCAAAGAAACGTTTTCGGTTCTTTGTTTTTTGTTATTTAATGCTTGTTACTTAAAAATTTTTTTTGTTCTTTGTTATTCAATGTTTCTTACTTATTATTCTTTGTTATTCAATGTTTGTTACTTATTGTTCTTTGTTTTGTAATGTTTGTAGTTTGTCCCGTTTAAACCGGAGTATCAAAATAATCTTTTTTATCTGCGACAACAACATCAACATCATCATCATCAACAACAACAACAACAACAACATCAACAACAACATCAACAACAACACCAACAACAACATCAACAAAAACATCAACAACAACACCAATAACAAAAACAAATAAACAAACAAAAAGCGATCACTAGCAATAGCAAAATTAAAAAATACATCAACCTTCGACAAACAGAAACAAACAACGACAAACAGCCACAAACATGCAAACAAAACACAGCAACAATCAATAATATAGAAATTAACAACAAGGAAAAAACAGCAAGGTAGAAACTCCATCACAACATGAACAACAATGACAACAGTTTTAGAAAACATTAATCAAACATGATATCTATGACAACGATCGACTCATATTAACAACAACAGCAAACAACAAACACAACAAACACAACAACAACAACCACAACAACAACAACCACAACAACAACAACAACAACCACAACAACAACCACAACAACAACAAACACAACAACAATCACAATAATATTATTTTTATTAATAAACAAAAACAATGAAAAGAACAAAGATTTATAAAAAAAAAAAACAACAGAAAAAACAAATGGCCTGACTCACGGATGTTTTGCACTTCCTGTTGCCAGTGTAGATGCCTTGATTTTTTTGCGCGCCACTCAAGCAGTTGTTCACATTCTCGACCACCTTCCTCCTCACATCAGATAACAGATAATAACATAGAGCTGAAAACAAATTGTTCTTTGCTTGGCTGCTACCTTCCAAGTTGCTGCTGACGTTGTTGTCGTTTTTGTTGTCGTTTTTGTTGTTGTTGTTGTTGTTTGTGTTGAAGTTGTTGACTTTGTTGTTACTGACTCCTTGAAACGAAGCGATGAGGATGGCATCTTTCTCAGAAATGCCAAAACTTTGAGCTAATTTTTGTTTTGGTTTTATTAGCAAAGCTGAAATAATTTTGTTGTAATTGACGTTGTTGACGACAGCATTTGATGCAGTTGCACCACCACCACCACCACCACCACTAAGTTCATTACCATCATGGACATTCTTTGCAGCACAGGTCAGCGGAATCTCCACTAGGGAGTTGAAGTGACCCTTGCGCAGGCATATCTGAACGATTTTTGATGACGATATTGTTGACGATGTTGAAGACGTTGTGTGTGCTGACGACGACGATGATGACGTCAGTGATGATGACGATGATGATGGTGAAGAGACAGGAACGGATGCATCGATTTGAGTTACTGAAGCACCAAATGAGCTGATATTTTTTAAAGAATTTTGAGATGACGTCGGCAGTAACGATGAGGATGATGGCAAATTCATAACGTAATATACATAACTATCGTGGTAGAAACCAGTCACGTGACTCATGACGTCACTTGGATAATGTCCATCCTTGTATTTAATTTTCGAATAACCGCCAACCGGATCTGAGTAGGAGAGGGAAAACTTCGATGCGTGGCTGTTGTTGTTGGACAGACTCAGACTGCTGAACGTTGGGGCCAGTAATCTCTTGGACGTTTTGTAGAAACCCGCTGTGTGCAAGACGTTCGTGTGTTCGTGCATGCCTGGCCCTATGAAGGCGATGTTGTATTGTTGTTGCTGCTGTTTCTGCTGCTGCGTTTGTTGTTGTTGTTGTAGCACCTGTTGTTGCATCTGCTGCTGTTGTTGTTGTTGTTGTCTTGATATATTAGGAAGTGACCAAGCCTCACAGATGAGTTGCTGATTAATTGGACAACACATAATTAACTCGTTCGTTTGCCGACTGATGAGCAATATCTTTTCGTGGTGGTCGTCCACACCCTCCATGTGATCGTCGTCGTCAGTGTTCATTTTGTTGTTGTGGTTGTTGTTGTTGTTGTTGTTGAGGTTTGTGCATGTTAGTTTATTTGTTGGGATCTGCAAAATTAAATGTTAAATGGGGTAATAGATAATGTTTTTACATAGAATAAGAAACACTCTATTAAATTTTCAATCTTTATCAAACATTCCTTTTGTTTTGTTGAAAAAATTGTTACAAATTATTTTCGCAATACCAACCTGTTTCACAATTCTTAGATTTGAGTCCAAGGCAAACAAACCATTTGTTGAAACCATGTAGAACCTTTTGAACTTCTCATCAAAGACAAATTTTTGCGGTAGAGTTGGTGGTCTAGTGACGTACGTCGTAACTTGATGTCGTTGCTGCTGTTGCTGACGAGAAAAACTTGGTTGCTGCAACTGCTGCTGCAACGGATGTCTTGATTGTTGTAGTTGTTGTTGTTGTTGAGAGTTGGCAACAAAGAGAATAATAAGAAAAACAACCAAAAAAATGGCGTGTGCTTGATTGATGAGGTGGACTCGGGATGTGAGGGCTCGCGAGGATAGCACCATGTTTGCTGATGTATTGTAGTCAGTTTTGTGGAGGAGGTGTGGATGGGTCCTTCTTGTGGTTCACGCTGCTGCTGCTTCTGCTGCTCCTGCTGTTTCTGCTGCTCCTGCTGCTTCTATGTTCCACTACCTTGCGTTAATTACTTGATTGTTTCCTAATAAGACATCCCCGCAATTATTTCTCCATTGTTGTTTGTATATAAGCTGATTGTCGGCTAACACGTTTCATTCACCATGCTCATCTTCATGTTCATCTCTTTTGTTTGAAAGTTGGTTCACTTGTGACTTTGTGCTGATGTGTGTGTGTCCTCAGCCTTTATTAGAGTTCTCTGTAGTAAATAAATTAATTTTAATTTTAAAAATGTGTTGAGTGCATTCCAGTTTATGAAGCACATATAATTTAGTTAGATATTTGATTTTTAATTCAAATGTTATCTTTTCAAGTAAAAAACATCTGCAATTAACATCATTTTTTTAAATTGTTCAATTTTTGTCGTTGAGCCAAATTTGGTTGCATAACAAGTTAGTTGGAAGAGCAAAAATTTAGGAAAACACACGAAATCATTTTGACAGCTTCACAGTTAGAAACATTTTTGCACAATCAAATGTTTTATCAGTGCTCTCAAGTAAACCTATTTTTTATCAATTAGATATGCATACTTTATGCGAGGTGTTGGTATTTCACGATGCAAACAGGAAAATGAAAGTGAAAGTAAAAGGTTCATGGAAAACCTGCCGAAAAATGGATGAATGGATTAAAAGATGGACTGACGTGGGAACGTGCAACTCATTGAAACGGCGCGATGGGGAAATGGTTAAGGTGCCTGGCATTGTTGACGCAGTGTCCAGGTTCGAATCTAACGAAATCCCCACCTACCACATACAAAAGTGTGCGGTGCGGTGCGGTGCGTTGATTCACATGTGTTTAATACACTGTGTGTCTGTTGCAATAATAATAATGCACCTCAGTCGCTCGCCACGCTTTATAAAATGACATTATTGTTATTATTATTATTATTAAAATGATTGAAAAAGATGTGAGACGCTGACAAGAAAGTTAAACACTTTTGATTGGGTTCTGATGTGGTGTGGTCTGAAGTGGTGTGGTGTGGTCTGAAGTGGTGTGGTGTGGTCTGAAGTGGTGTAGTGTGGTCTGAAGTGGTGTGGTGTGGTCTGAGGTGGTGTGGTGTGGTGTGGTGGTCCTGGGATAGATTGAAATGTAAGGCTGAAAATCGAAACTGACCAGAAATGAAAATACTGAACTAGGAGTGATATCTGAGAGAGGAAAGATTCAATTGAAAACACGAAAATCCTCCAGCGCAGGTGGAAAAATAAAAATAAATAAAATGAAAAAAAGTATAAAAGCAACGTGGCCGTCACAAATATTTGAAGCAGCAGCAGCAGCATCGATAGACTCACGCACTTATTGAAGACTGAAGAAACGAACTTCTAAACCATCGAAACACAAAATTCGGCAGGAAGTGGTAGAGAAAAAAAGGTTGGAAGAAGTAATTAGGAGAGAGCCAGCAATGCAGCGAGCGACTGCAGCGGCAAGTGGCCAGCCATAATTTGATTGACACATTGCTGACGTGCCGTAACAAAATGCGACGTGGGCAGGTTAGCAGGGCAGGCTGGCGTCGTCACACTCCAATGAACTGCAGCATTCAGATTGAAAGCATTCTAATCATTATCACCATCATTATCATCATTATCATCCTCATCATATCATTATCATCATCATCATATCTCCATCATCATTATCATCAACAACAACGTCCTTATCAACTTCATCATCAACATTATTATCTTCAACAACAACAAAACAGTCCTTTATAAAACGCTGTATAAAATGTTTCAAAGATAAATTTTTTGCACACATATACATTTGTGAAGACAGAAAAATAAGCAAGTGCACATGGACACACCTCCACTCTACTCCATACACACCTCCACTTCACCCCACACACACCTCCACTCTACTTCACACACACCTCCACTCCACCCCACACACACTTCCACTCTACTCCACACACACCTCCACTCCACTCCACACACCTTCACCCATTCCACACCAACACACTCATCATCAGCTCCTTGCACTTGCTCATGAGTCCTGGATAGAAACATTTTGAAGAATGAGACACTACATGAGACAAATGTATGTTTAAATCTATTCAAACTGCAAGCCCATGTCTGTGAGGCCATGGCGTTGGCGTTCTGAAGGTTAAACTTTGTTGACATGCACGTGCACACGTGTATCTTTAACACGCTGGCCACAACACTGTTGCGCTGTGCAACTAACTGTACACCTGCCGTACACCAGGCAAACGAATGTGACAATCAAGTGTTGATTCAACGACCATCTGTGCATGAAACCACATAACAGAACGTTCACAAACCCCACCATTTGCTGCTTATCAGCCATTCTATAACCCCGCACATAACTTTATATCAACATAATTCAAATTAAAATTGTAAATTTTTTCAAGTTTTCCGACCAAAAATCTTCCCAAAATTTACAACAGGAAACAAAGGTAAGATACAACATCAGGCATTTTTGTTAACTCAAAACGGAAGATCAAAATAAAAATCCAAGAATTAATAATTACAATGTGGTGTGATGACGAAGGAGTTTCACACATGGGAGTAGCGTGGGATGTGATGTGATGGTGGGGAATGTTATGATGGGTCGGGGTGACGGGTGCGTGTTAACACCATTTTTAGGGCTCACCGTCACCATCATCATCATCTGCGGTTGTCATCATTCAATTTAAAATTTTGGATTCAATTCATTTCTATTTTCGATGCATCGTCATTATCATCGTTATCATTATCGTGAATGTCATCATCTTCTT